CAATCTGTTATGTGTTATGCATTTACAGCAGACATTTAAAATTTATCTAAAAAGACATCTTTTTAGTTGAGAAATGGATCTTAAAATGATAGCATCGTGGCGGCAAGCTTTCCAGGATAGATTTTCCAACTGAGCATTAGCGGATTTAGAGTGTGATTTTATGAATATAGGAGGAATTTAATGAAGAAATAGATGTAGGATGAGAAATAGATCTTAAAATGTAACAGATAGCGTCAAGCTTTTCAGGATAAATTTTCTAACTGAGCATTAGAGGATTTAGAGTGTGATTTTATGAATAATAGATGTAGGGCTTGAAAATTATGCATGATTTTCGAGCAGTTCTTTGATTTTTCTGAATGATTTTGTAGAAAAAAGCACAAATCTTGCAATCATGCATCCAGAACTAGACCCTGTTTTCAAGCTTTTGCAAATAATGCTGACATGCCATCAAAAATATGGTTATAATTACTTAACATAGAGAAACTCTAAAACTGATTCTTCTCAAACATTTGCTTGAGAATTAAACCAAATTTAACAGAAATTTAACTGGCATGAAGGGCTTTGATGTTAATACAAATAATTCCAATTCATAATCAAATATGGCAATGTTGGCCATAACTAAATATAAAATAAAAACATAAAACACCTTCTAAAATGGCACTCAACTGATTTTGACCCAATGTGACAGAAAGCATTGTATTATGAAGGGTTTTTAATTATATAAAAACGTTGCCTTTCTGCTATTAAATATGGCAGTCATTACTAAAAATAGAAAATCTTTATATGACTTTTCAAATGTTGTCATTTTGATGCTAAGAACAGAAACGTTTTTAAATTACTTATTCTAAAAACTTGTAAAATGAATTTCACCAAATTTGACAGAAACGTCATCTTGGCATGAAGGGCTTGAACATTTTTACAAATGATGTGCCATCAAATATGGTTTTTATTTATCCAAATAAAAGAACCTGACATTATTTCTTTTCATAAACCAATTGATAGAATTTTACTAAATTTGACAGAAAGCAGTTTCTTGTGTAGAAAGCTTTGATATGTACAAAAGATACTGATCTGTTGTCACATATGGCTGACATTTATAAATCTGAAAAACCTTTAAATGAACATACTAAAACCTAAACTAAATTTGAAGGGAAAAAAAAACATTGGGCATGAAGGACATTCAGATTTATATGACCAGTATTACTAAAAATAGAACCACTGTTAAATGAGATGTGAAAAGCAGTGAGCAAAATTCAACCAAATTTTAAAGTGTTAATTGATGCCAATCTGCCATCATATATGACTTCTGTTACTAAAAGTTGAAAAACCTTTCATGACTCTTGTGAAAAACCTAATTTTACCAAATTTGTTTGAAAATACCCCTTTAGGGTTTTAAACTTTGTGCAGGTGTCCTCAATGGAGTATGTCATTACTATGTGCAGGTGTCCTCAATTGAGTATGTCATTACTAAGATGATAAAAACCATCAAACAATTTCATCTAAAAAAAAAGCCATTAGGCAGAATTTTACCAAATTGAACATTATGCATATTCCACCTTTTAAGTGAATTCAAATTTATTCCAATGATTCTGATAATGGCAAATAGGCTAAGATGCTAAATGTAGAAAAACAATATAATATGTGTATCTAAATAAATCTGCTCAATAGAATTTGACAAACTTTGAATCATCCTGGCATGAAAGCTTCTCGGTTTTCGGTTAAGTGACACTGATGTGCTGTTAAATATTTATGAAGATAAAAGAAATATTTGAAACAACTGTTTTCAGCAATTTTAAAGGAAATTTCAACATGAAGCATTCAACTGAACTAGATTTTGTGGTCAACTGCTCTTCCATTTTGATAGTTTGGAATATGTCAGCTAGGTGAGTACTCAGGTGTATTTGGGTCTCATGTTAAATTTTTAGCTCAACTGGTCAGAATCCAGAATAGCTTATAATTGACCTGTGTCCTTGTAACCATCAATTGGTTAGCATGGGTTTGTTATCCATAAACTTCTGGGAGTATCACCATTAAACTTTGTACACCCATTTATTCAAGGGTTTAGTTGTTCCTAACTGAAAATTGTACCCATGTGTATCTAGTATGGCTTCAAGCCATCTCCATCCAGTACCTAATGAATGGTCACATAAACTTACTTAGAGACTTTTAGGATATGTGGTCAAAATTGTGGTCATATCAACATGGGGGTTTTACTAGGACTTTTTTTTATGATACATTGTCCTAAATGAAAATGATTTGAATCTGACCTCCAAAATGGCTGCCATTGTTGCCATCTTAATGATTATCATTTCTGTTCCTCTTGAATAGATAATCACACTGACATGGAGTTTTTACTAAAAGATGTCCTAAATTAAATTATACATTGTGGCCTTCAACAAGTACTAATCACAAGGCTAATGGTGGCAGGTTCTATGGTGACTCAGTGGTAAGAATTAACAATTCCTACCCTTGGATCAGGGGTCCTGAGTGGCCGAGTGGTCAAAAGCACTCACTGTTATGGATCACTACTATCTCACCTCCGTCTGCAGTGGGTTCGAGTCTTGGGTTCAGCTAAAGTGGTTACGTGAGAAAGCGTGCCAGTAGCTTCTCATGGGTAGGTGATTTTTCTGGGGGTTTTCCTGGGTTCATCCTCTACTATTTATACTGGCGGCCATGTTTAGCCTATCTTGTGCTGAAAAATGGTGTTATACCCTATAACAACAATGACAGCAACCATCCTCAAGCAAGGTATTTTATTCCAGTAACCTTGGCATTGCTAACTTATTTTGCTGTGCCATAAAACACAAAACCAAGCCAAATGCATTATCTGGTACTCAAATTCAGTTATAACCATATGTGGATAATCAGTCAGGAAGGTATCAAATTCTTGATTTGAAGAGTTTAATTAGGAATTAATAGTCTGTTAATTGATTGTTTCATGTAAATGTCAGTTCTCTGGGATAGTTAGTACAAATGACATTAGTCATGTAACAATTTGTACAGCAGTATCATTTTCCTCTCCCTCCTCTGCCTCTTTAACATTATAATGATCTCTTTCATCCTCATTTTCCTCATCTTATAATTTTTTAAACTTTGCCTTTAGTTGACACCATGCAGACACTATTGTACTAAGATGCTGTCACATGCATGTACATATTGTCATTATCGGCATCATCATCATTCTACTCTTTCTATCTTCCTCCTTCGCTTCTCTTGACAACCAAGTGTCTCCCTCTCATTTATTTCTGACTCACAAAAGTCACTTTCAGAACAAAGAAAAGTAGCTAATGCTAGAGAAAAAAATAAAAAATAAATCATTAACAGTTTCTTGCACAAGTGGAGATAAGAAAAGATTTTTCTGGTATTATCATGATAAAATATGGGTTCTTTGAAATACAGTGTCTTTCCTCATAAAATGATGTCTGCAAAAATAGCAACCCCCCTTCCAGTTTTACAGGGTTAATACATGTACTGAACTTAATTAGGACATATGCCACAGTCAGCAGTGACAATTTTAGTTTTAAAATGTAAAGAACTTTTATATCAGAGTAAAATTTACTGGATGCTCTTTAGTTACTTATAAGCTGTATCAAACACCAAAATTTGTTTACTGTAACTTTCTTATATAATGTTTCAAATAATTATAAAGATACTGCCACAAAGTGGGGATATCTTACAACTTATTGTACCAGGAGACATAAGCATGTCACAGTTTGCTTTATAAGAAAAAAAATGGTAAAACTAGTTACCTCCCTGTATCATGGATTTTGAGCTAGGGTTATTCAGTAGATTTGTTTTTAAGGCCAATTATTATGTTACTTTGTCCCATAAAGCACTGTTTATGACTTCACTAATTGATTTGCACCATTAAGACTAATGAAGTCAGACAGACTGGGTTTTCACTTACATTTACATTTAGTCCTAACATACCCAAGTGACTTCCCATTGGTTCAGTGGTCCATACATTTTCCAGACTATAATATTTGAAGTCCATTTCAGTCTTTGTTTTGACTCATAATCTTAAACAAATGTTTTGTTTTTTTGTTTATGACAAATCATTTTCTATGCATATATGCTTGTTGTTTACTAGATACATTGTAAAAATGGGGGGAGGGCATTTTAACAAGCAACATTACATAGGTTATTGCATTCCCTTTGGTCTCCTAAAAGGCTTAATGGTTGAACATTTGAATGTATGTAAAACAGAATTAAAAGAAAGTTTGATCAGGCATTGATCTATTGCTCACAACCCCAAGTGGAGTTCAGAAACCAGGAAAGAAAAGGATACACCACCTTAGAACATTGAAACCAAGCAGTTTAAACCAAGAAGACTTGAAAAGACAGCCATACACATAAAATTATTTTTTGCTGCTGACACATTTTCTTTCAAATAATTCTTTAAATTTGCTTAATAGCCTGTAATTACTACTATAACAATTAAATATCTGGGAGTTAATTTGTGCTTACATTAAATTTACATAAAATAACAGATGTCTTTATGGCTCTTCAATTTCTAGGGCCAACACAAATATTTTCCAGCAACCACAACAAGTTCAAACAAACTAGTTGAAACATAATAAATTTAAAGGTTTAATTCCAGTAGAAAGAAGCCATGTAAAAGTTTCATAAACACAGCAGAATTTCTGTTTAATTTGTTTGTCTTGACTATATTTTGTATTTGCCTTTGAAAAAGACTCATTAATAGTTGAAAGCACTCAGGCTAGTTAGATACTAGTTTTGCACTGTTCATTGCACACACACACACACAAACACACACACACACACACAAACACACACACATACATATATGTGTGTATGTGCTTGTTAGTGTGATTTAGATTTTTAACATAGCATTAACAATTTTTCATTTATGTCACTACAATGTCTACAGTGAGTTTATAATCATGGCTAGCATTGCGGTATGATGTCCCACCCAACTAACCTTTTAATGCTGAGCGCCAAAGTGAGGCAGCTGTTAGTACCATTTTTTAAAGTCTTTGGGTCTTTGGTATGACTTGGCTGGGGTTCAAACCCATGACCCCCCGCATCTGAGGCGTATGATCTAACCACTAAGCCAAAGGACCAATTAGATACTAGTTTTGCACTGTTTATTGCACACACACACACACACACACACACACACACACACACACACACACACACACACACATATGTGTGTATGTGCTTGTGTGTGTGATTTAGATTTTTAACTTAGCTTTAAAAAATTTTCAGTCATATCACTACAATGTCTGCAGTGAGTTTATAGTCATGTCTAGCATTGCAGCATGATGTTCCACCCAACTAACCTCCTAATGCTGAGCGCCAAAGTGAGGCAGCTATTAGTACCATTTTTTAAAGTCTTTGGGTCTTTGGTATGACTTGGCTGGGGTTCGAACCCATGACCCCTCGCATCTGAGGCATATGATCTAACCACTAGGCCAAAAGACTAGTGTATATATATATATATATATATATATATATATATATATATATATATATATATATATATATATATATATATAAACTTAAGATACTGTGAATTATGATGCTTTAGTGTCATAAAAATATTACCGAATACAGTCAATTCAGTCAGTTAGGGGACATAAACTTGTATGCATAACGATTAACATGTCACTCTTAGGAGAAAAAATATTTTCATGAAATTAGCTTTATTGCCAAATTTATTAAATGTTTATGCATTCACATGATTCAATAACATAACATTGCTTCATTTTACAGTTTTTAGCTCTACTGGTCATAGACCAAAATTCTGGGCTGTTATCCATCATCCATCTTATGTTCTTTGTTGTTATGACTACTTCTACTATGTTACTGTGAGGATTGCCTTGAAACTTTACACACTAATTTATTCCATGGTTCCAATGAAATAGTGGCCAGCAAGGCATCCATCTTGAAAATCCTGTTGCTGGTCCTGTTCCTCCTAAATATATATGATTGTTTTGACTAAATTCCCTGGAGACATCCATGTTGGCATTCTTGATAGTCTCAGCATAAAATTTTCATAAAAATATCTTCTTACAGGATATAGTTGGTGCTAAAGGACAATGGTACAAGCCTGATATTCAGTGTACAGGGCTCAGAATTATTGCTAATCAGCAGTCCTGCAGTTTGTGATTTTGCCAATGGAACACTAATTAAATGCCCAACCATCACAAAACCATTGGAACAGTGAAAATTACATACCACCAGCCACTCTGTTAACAGGGAGAAGTGGTCATATGTTGGCATTCCATTTAGTGGTAATTAATCTGATGATTGTGTTAATTTAGTACCTGCCAACATTCTCCTCTTAATGATCAGGTAAAATGTTACATGCCCCAATGGACCGGTGTTAAACTAATCAATGTCCACTGCCCCAATGGACAGGTGTTAAACTAATCATACACTCATCAAGACAGTTAGTGTGGTTAACACCAAATTAGTCCTTGCCCAGGTAGAACTAGCTTGGTGTACTGCCCCCAATTTCATTACTGAAAATAACAAAAGGTGCAGGGGCCCAGAGTAGCTGAGTGGTCTAAAGGCTCTCCATCACTGGATCACTGCCTCACACCTTTGTCTGTGTGGGTTGAATCTAAGATTTGGCAAATGTGGATATGTGAGAAAGCTTGCCAGTAGCTTCTTGTGGGTTGATGGTTCTTTCAGGGATTTCTGTTTCTTCCTCCACCATTAATACTGGCCGCCATGTTTAACAATCATGTGCTGAAAATGGCATTAAGCCCCACAACAACAACAACAACACCAACAACAACAACACTAACACCAAAAGGTGCAGGGGTCACAGGCTGGAAAAGGTTGCATTCACTGACTTGTTAGATAATCCAGAATTGTTCTAAACAATGTGTTTTATGATTTATTGCGTTGATAAACATGCATTGCATTGTGCAGTTACAGTTGTAAACATATGGAAGTATTTACCATCTATACAGTTACCACTAAAACATAAAAAATAAGATATTGACATGAGCAGAACACAATCACAATTATAATCAAGAGAAGAGACTGAGAAAATATCAGACATGTTGGGAAAATGAAAACAAATGGCTGAAAGATGCCTCAAAAGAGGTTATCCACATTCTACACTGATTATTAACACAAATACAAATGTTTTTGGTATACTTCATTAATGAGTCTTTTGAGTGAAATAATTATAATTGTTCTTAGTTGACATTAATGAATGATAAATGTTGAATTCAAAACTGAACTGGCTTCTGTGTGATTATAGCAGGATGAGTGAAGTTTTTGTAGGATCAGTAAAAATTGTGATTGACGATCTTATTGATTAATGAAGAAAAGTTCATGCTCATCAGCATAGCTGCAATTATGGCAATAGTAAAAATCCTGACATTGCTAATTTTTTTTTTATAGATGATTGCATTGATATGGGGACTTTCAATAAAAGACTAACAATGACTACTTGGTGATGAAAATGGTGTCAATCTGACCTCCAACATGGACACTAAAACTTCTTTTCACTAATTATTCTATATGCATGGTTATAGATTTGTTTAGTTTTCATCAAAATCCTTTTTATCATGTCTAGTTCATACTAAATACAAATACAAATATTGCTGTTACTTTCAATATGGCCACCACAGTGGCCATCTTGAAATTCTTGTTTCTTTTTCTTCTCCTGAATCCATGGTAAATTTAACATAGTGCTTTTCTTTTTTTATATTACTGTATATGGTTGATCATTGATGAAAACAGTGATGAATAGATCTCAGTGTGTCCACTCAGGGGCCATGTTAATAGTCTTCTTATCAATATCTCTCCTGAGTTTATAGGTGTGATGACATGTTTTTTTTTTTTTCTGAAAGGTTCCTTATATATGTAGTTGATTCTAAATGAGACTGGTATTGATCAGACCACTGCTATGGTTGCTATAGTAGCAATATTGAAGATCTTGTTATAGCATCTTCTCTTTGAGAGATGGTTATATAGGCATGGTGTTCTGACTAAAAGACTACTTTTTATGTCTGGTTGGTCTTAAATCAGACTTCCAGTTTGGTAGCCATGGTAGCTATCTTGAAAACTGTGTTAGTGCTACTTCTCCTGAATGGATAATCATATTAATGGTATGGAGTTTTCAGTTATAAGACTTATTTTATGATATGCTGTTTATCCTAAAGAAAATGGTTTTGATCAGACCTCCAGAATGGCTGTTACAGTGGCCATCTTACAAATCTTTTAGTAGCTACTTTTGATGTATTAATGGTGATATGGAGACGAAGTTTTTCACTAAGAGACTTCTAATGATATCTAGTTGGTCCTACATAAAAATAGTGCTAATGAGACCTCCAACATGATCTTCTTGTAAATTTTGTTATTATAAATGAAATGGTGCTTCTCAGACATCTAGCATCTTGAAAGTCTTGTTCAAGTTTCTCCTCCTGAACCATTGGTCATATTAGTTTAGAATTTGACAAAAAAATAACATTGCAATATGCAGCTTGTTCTGACCAGACCTCCAACATGGCACCCTAATGGCCATCTTTAAAAAATCTTGTTTTCATGCAAGAGTGGTGGCATTGTCATGGGGATTTTATTTGAACATTTCTTGCAATATTTAATTTGTTCAGAATGAAAATTATGCAAATCTGACCACCAAATGTGGCAACTGTGATACTAAGGAAACTCCAGTTTGATCTAAATGCCAACAAGTTGACAGTGTTTGGGACCTCTGCTGACAGTCAGGTTAGAAATTGTCACTTGAATGTGGATCTGAACATATAACAAATTTCACTGGATTTCATTCAAGAAGTGTAGAAAAATGAAGGAAATATATAGGGAACTTAAATAGTTTGGAAATACCTTGTATTGTAGAAAATTGATTGAAATATGTATGGAACTTACCTTGCAGTGTAGAAATTTATGGAAATATTTGAGAATTTAAACAGTTTGGTAATACCTTGTAGTGTAGAAAAGTGAAAGAAGTATATATAGAATTTGCAGTGTAGAAAAGTTCAGGAATTATATAAGAAATTTAAATAGTGTAACTTATCTTGCAGTGTAGAAATGTTGTTGTTGTTGTTGTTGTGGGGCTTAAAGCCATTTTTCAGCACTTGATAGGCTATACATGGTGGCCAGTATTAAGAGTGGAGGAAGAAACCGGGAAATCAGTGGAAAGAACCACCAACCCACGAGAAGCTACTGACAAGCTTTCTCACATATCCACATTCACAGAATCTGAGACTCAAACTCACACAGAGTTGAGATTTCAGTAATCCCTAATGGACAGCACTTTAGACTACTGGGCCACTTGTGGTTCCTGCAGTGTAGATAAGTTATGGAAATATATAAGAAATTTAAATAGTGTGGTAATACTTTGTAGTGTAGAAAAGTTAAATATATAAGAACTGAAATAGTTTGGTATTATCTTGTAATGTAGAAAAGTGAAGGAAATATAAAAGGAATTTAAATAATTTGGTAATACCTTCTAGTGTAGAAAAGTGAGGGAAATATATAACAACTTAAATAGTGCGCTAATACTTTGTAGTGTAGAAAAGTGAAGAAAATATATATGGAATTTAGTGCAATAATAACTTGAATAACAAGCAGAAGAAATCATTACCATGTGTTGTATATTTTTGATAATAAGGTATTCTAGAATCATTCATAGCAAATTATTGTATACACGTATGTGAAAAAAGTAAATAAGTACATTTTTGGGGGGCATGCTAGAAAATGCATTGCTGAAATATACATGTATAGCCATTAGCTTTTTTCTTTAAACTAGGAAACTTCAAATTTAGACAAGATTTCTTACTTAAAAATGCACCTGTAACACACATTCATTTGTTACATGGTTACATAGCTTTTAATTTATTTGGATGCAAACAAATATGATTGCATAATTGTTAATGTAATGGGTTTTCATCACCTTTGGGTCACTGCTAGAGTTCGAAATGGACACATGGATGGTTTGGTTTTTCAACTTTGATTGGATCCTAACATTATTTTCATGTACTAGTACCATGCCTGGCTTAATGCTTTATCTATTCTGACAAATTTTTTAAACTCCAACATTTCTTGACCATATTTAGTCATAGTTCTGCTTTTCTAT